TTTCTGGCCGTCCTGCAGACACAGCTGGGAACAAGCCAGCATCCATTTGATCTCAGAGGGCGGGGGGGGGGGGAGAGAGAGAGAGAGAAAGAGAGAGAGAGAGAGAGAGAGAGAGAGAGAGAGAGAGAGAGAGAGAGAGAGAGAGAGAAATCATTGGAAATGTCAACACTATGGCCCTGGAATGTTCTCGACAGATGAATGTTCACAGCCGTCGTAGTGTTGACATTTCCAGGATTTGGGACTTGAGCCATGTCGGTCTCCACCTGGCCCAGAAAGCTTCAGCCACAGGAGGGGGACCTTAGTGAACAAGCAACTTTCCCGCACTTCCCTGTAGGAGGAAGACAGGGAAGGATGTCACAACAAGGCAACCACTGGGTTTGAAGCTTTCCAAGCCAGCAACAGGACAGGGATGATTTCTTCTGCTTGCAGAACACTTATGTGTCCAGGGAAAACCATGCCGAGATCTGCCAAGGAAATTGTGTTCTCACCCTTTGGTGTTTATTTTAGGTCTGCAGCTTCCATTTTGTTTCTTTGTTGCCTCAAAATGGGGACCATCCATGCAACTGGAGCCTTGCCCCTGTTGATGGGCATCAAGCATGTGACAGGGGAAAGGTTTAGATGGGGCGGAAGGGGCTCCCATCTCAATTTTTTTTTTACAGCCATCTCCTTGAAGAGGCCCCTGGATTGTACACCATTTTTCAGCATTTAACAGAATAACAGAGTTGGAAGGGATTTTGGAGGTCTTCTAGTCCAACCCCCTGCTCAAGCAACAGACCCCTATACCATTCCAGACAAGTGGCTTTCCAGTCTCTTCTTGAAAGCTTCCAGTGATGAAGCTCCCACAACCTCTGAAGGCAAGCTGTTCCATTGTGTTCTCACTGTTAGGAAGTGACAGTTCTCCTCAATTCCAGGTTGCTTCTCTCTTTGATTAGTTTCCATCCATTGGTTCTTGTCCTGCCTTCAGGTGCTTTGGAGAATAGGTTGACCCCCTTTTCTTTGTGGCAGCCCCTCAAATATTGGAAAACTGCTATCATGTCACCCCTAATTCATCTTTTCATTAGACTAGACATCCCCTGTTCCTGCGACTCTTCCTCCCCCTTAATCATCCTTGTTGCTCTTCTTTGCACTCTTTCCAGAGTCTCTACATCTTTATTTGACAGTGTCCATTTTCAGATAGTGGAAAGAAAATTCCAATTTATGTGATTGATCTGAGTGCTCAAGGGAACTGCCCACTTGATGTCCAGGAAACCATGTTAGTCCATTGCAACCAAAGCAAGTCTGTTAATCTGTTGCAGCAAAAGCAGGAGAAACCATTTTAGTCTGTGGCAACAAAAAAAACCATGTTAGTCTTTTACAAGCAAACCAAGGAAAATCATGTTAGTGTGTTTCAACGAAAGCAAAAGAAACCATGTTAGTCTGTGGCAGTCAACACAAAAAAAACCATGTCAGTTTGTTGCAAGTGAAGGAAGAAAAGCCATGTTAGTCTGTTGCAAGCAAATCAAGTAATACACCTCCATGATTAATAAATTCAGCCACGTGGCATCAAAAGTTTCTATAGATCGGTCTAGATTGAGGGTTGAAAATTTACACAAAATGTGAATGTGGTGCAGAGGAGTTGTGGCTGTTTGGCTGCCTGGGTAATATATGGAAAAGGGTTTTAAAAGCAAAGAGTGCCTGGAACAGAACAATCTGACTCTGAAATTTATTACAAACATTGAGTTGATAGGATTTCGTAAAACTGAAAAAAGGCTGTTTAACTGCAGTCCGGTGGGGTCTGGCAATTTTGCTCAGTTGCACATGGCAATTCCAACAGCTTGACAAACAACAAACCTTTTTATTGCTCTTCCCAGATTTCAGCTTGTCAACCAATTTTTTTTAAAAAAACCAGAAACCGTAATCCAAGTCAGCTTCATTCTTAGTTTGGCTCTCTAGGGAAAGTTGAGTTTCCTCAGATTTGTCTTTCAGAGATGTGGGAAAGGAAACCCAGAAAATGTTGACTTTGCCAAGCCAAATACCTGGCTTATTTGGAGCAGAGAAGCAAGGGGCATTATTTCTCTTCCAGAGAAATGAAAAAGGGGTTCCAGTAACTTAAATTCCACCTGCCTGCTGCAGCTTCAAAATCGTCCTTGGAGAGGAGACCTCCCAAGTAGATGTTTGCTCAAAAGGAACTCATCTCCAAACCTTCTGCCCTCCAAAGAAGTTTGGCTACCAGCACCAGCCCTCTCGGTGTATCTAGTGATGTGGGTTGGAGGAAGCCGACTTTTTAACTTTCAGCTCACTGTTTTTCCTTTGCTCGGTCTAAGCTTATCCAAGTATTTCTCGCTAGACTTCCAAAGAAGAGGGCTGTAGATGGACACAGCACATCTGGAAGAGTGTCTTTGTTTCCCATTTGAATGATGCTCTCCCCGTATTTGAAAGAGGTAGATGCCACTTTGACTGGACATCTGAACTCATTAGCCAACTCATTCGAGGCACAAGAAGTTGGGACATTTGCAGAGTTTGGAAGCATTCTTGCTGATTTCAGCACTGGCTTTCTTCTTCTACCAAAGTCTCTTGAAGACAGCTTAGTGTCAGGTTTCGATGCTATCTCAAAATACAAGAATCGCGTCCCAGCACTGACACTTAGCAAGTTTTTAGCTTCATTCAGTTGGGAAACATCTGACAGAGGTAAGTATTGGTTGGCTAGAATAGGGGTCCCCAACCCCCAGACCCCCACTACCAACCCCCATTACTGGGCCACAGCCCATTAAAGAACAGTGAAAATTAGGATTTCAGATAAATGGAAAGTGATCAAGTAGAAGGCGGTTTGGTGGTCTTCCCCCACCCTGAGCAAATAGTTTGATGATGACCATAAAGTTTTTCTATAAACAGTAGACCAACCTTGGCAACTTTAAGGCATGTGGATTTCAACCATCAGAATTCCCTAGCCAGCCGTGCTGTTGGGAAATCCTGCAATAGACTTTCATATCCTTTACATTAATCCTTCACACTGATCTGTTACAACAACACCTTCAAGAATGAGACACGGGGTGTAATTTTGCAAGATCTTCTTTGGGTTCAAGCTAACTCGTAGCAGAGCAAGAATTTTAAAGTCATAATTCTAAAGAATAATCAAGTTTCCAGTTCATACTTTAGAGATGAGCTGTGTTACAATTGGGGCAATGAATTATTGACCTCTGAAACTAGAAATGCCTTCTTTTAGTATATAGCCAAGTCAACCTGCAATTAGACTCAGCAGAATGTAGGATCAAGATGGCATCCACAAAGCATCATTAAAATACAAGTGTCCTTCTTTTTGTGTATTGCTTGATCTGACCGTCATGCCCATTATCTTGATCCCCCACCCCCCATATTCTGCAGATACCCTGTGGACAGTTGGTATATCCATTTTCTGCAAGCCCATAATAACATTGTCATAAAGTAAGCAGAGTGGCCACGGAGGGGTTAAAAAAAATCAAGATGGCCATAACTGTACAATCAAATTTCCATTCCAGATTATATGCCTAAACAGAAACATGTTATTATTTTTGTTGTTTTTCCTTAGATCAGGACCAATTCAGAAGGCATCCCATAATAACTTTCCAAGATAGGTAGCTCAGCGCTTGCTTTTTCCATGGCTTAGTAGTCCAGCAGAGGGGGATTGTGTGGTTACAGGTAGTCCTCGATTTACAGCAGTTCATTTAGTGACCAAAGACCATTCGACTTATGACCATTTTTCACACTTAACACTGTTGCAGCATCCCCATGGTTAGGGTAGGATCAAAATTCGGATGGTTGGCAACTGACTCATACTTATGACGGTTGCTGTGTCCCAGGGTCATGTGATCCCGTTTTGTGACCTTCTGACAAGCAGATAACAACGGTGGCAAGAAAGGTCATAAAATGGGGCAAAGCTCATTTAACAGCTGCCTTGCTTAGCCACAGAAATCGTGGGCTCAACCTTGGCCGTAAGTCAAGGAGTACCTGTAAAAGGAACATTTCCAAGTCCCGCTTTGCAGCAGTGAGTGAGAAAAGCGTCCCTTCCTATCTTGGTGCGTTGCTTTGTCTAGCCGAACCCAGCCAAGGGAAAGGCTGATGCTGTTTCCAGGCAGGGCTGAGGATGTGCGGCAGTCTTTGGACCAGCAGGTTGGCTGTCCAGCTATTGTGCCCCCTTCCTGTACTGGGGGGGGGAGGGGAAATGCCAAATCCCCAGGGCAGACGCTTTCTCACGATCACGCTTGAAGTTCCCTCGCGGTGATGTAATGAGTGGTTATTTCAAGGGGATATTTTTGTCGTGACTTCAGTGGATTGAGGGGGGGGGGAGCAGTGGGAAAGGATAAGCATAAAACATAACTTCCTTTTCCCTTTTCTCTTTCTAGAAAAACAAACCAATAAAGTTTTTTTTAAAAAAAAAAAGTCAGAAGTTTGATCGTCTCATTCAGTGGAAGCATTGCTTGGAAAGAGAGAAATTCAGGGTTTTTCAGGGTTGCTGGGGAATGTGGAAAGAAAAGGGAAAGAAAGAAAGATCAGGCAAGGCTTTGTACCTTCTGATCCAATGCTGCCTGGGCATGAACTGAAGGCCCGTGGAGTCCTGGGTTGGATCTACCAGCCAGGGAATTCACCTTGCAGTGAAGAAATCCATATTTACAGCCAGCGGCTGCTTCTTTTAAAGCTGAGAAGCTTTTTTTTCATGAGCAAATTATGGTTCAAATAAATAAGCAAATAAATAAAAAAAAAGACTTGGACTCTTGAAGTGGCATAGCAGTGAAGGTTTTGGATTGGCAAGCGGGACTCAGGTTTGAGTCCACTCCCAGCCACGGAAAAGGCCTCGGTCTCAACCTCACAGGCCGAGCTTCCAAGGATGGGACCCTAACAAACACCTGTTCCTTCTGCTCCCAGATCCAGCGTGCTTTTCTTCTCCAAGCCACCAGCCATCCTGGGCTTCTCCCTCACTTCCTGACACGTTACACGGGGTGACCACCATTGCTGACACCCCTTTCCTTTCTTTTCTCCTCCTGCAGCCTTGGTTGGATCCATCGGCATGGGGATGGTTTTCTTTTGCTCTCCCATCGTCAGCATCTTCACCGATCGGATCGGATGCCGGACCACTGCTGCCTCGGGAGCTGCCATAGCTTTCATTGGCCTCCTCTCCAGTTCCTTCACCAAGTAAGGTTCTGAAACGGAGGGTGGAAGGACCAAAAGGCTCACCAGCAAAGATTTGGCCTGAAGGGCTCTTCCAATCTCTGAACCCTTTGCCCTCCAACCAAAGCAAACCCCATTGCCCCCCCATAAACCTCCAAGGGTCCTTCAGGCAGAGGCACACAAACCTTAGACATCTCCCAGGCTTGGTGCTCATGAAGGACACCACTGCCGATAAGCAGATGAGCTCTATAAAATGTCAGTGCAATGTCTGACTGAACAACAACCCCTGGGATTTCTGGAAGGGGACATTCTTCACACCAGGACCACCTCAGCTCCAAAACCATGGCTCCCTCTCTTCCCTCCTTCCTATTATTTTTGCCCTTCCTTCTTTCCTCTCTCCTTTCTTCCCTTCCCTTTCCATTTCCTATATCCTTCCTTCCTTCCTCTTCCCATTTCCTATATCTTTCTTTCCGTCCTTCCTTTCCACTCCATTCCCTACATACATACATCCTTCCTTCCTTCCCTCCCCTTTCTTCCTACATTCCGTCCTCATTTTCTTTATCCATCTATCCATCCTTCCCTACCCTCCCATTTCCAATATCCATCCATCCTTCCTTCCTTCCTTCTTCCTTCCCTCCCTGTCTTTCCCATTGCCTTTACGCTTCCTCATTCCCTCCCTCCCCCTCTTTCTTCCTACATTCCCTGTCCTCATTTTCTTTATCCTTCCTTTTTTTCCCCCTCCCTTTATTTCTTCATTTATTTATTTCTCAGTGGCTCCTGCCCTGCCATTCAAGGTGCATCCTCCTCCTCCGCCCTCACAATCTTCCCTCCTTGCTCCTGCCATACCACTAAAAGGTCAGGTGCACCCTCTGGCCTCCAGCTGGCCTGCTCTGGCTGGGGATGGGGATCAGGCGACCATGGCTGGCCTACAGAAATCCCCAGGAGGTTCCCTTGGCTGCCCTTTCCTGATATCAGCCCTCTGAGGCCAACCAGGTCAAGAAACGGGCAACAGCAAGGATTCCTGGAAGGCTCTTCTCGTTGCAGGGTAGAGTAACAGAATCCTGCATAGTTTCTCTCTGCCACATCTGAGTCCTTACCCCACTCCTCATGCCTTCCCCTTCCCAGCACCAGGTCCACGTTCCTTCACAAGCGGTTATCTGCGTTTTGTAGCCCAGCTAAGGCAGTCCGAGATGGCAGGAGCTCCAGATATCTGTCTGGCCAAGGCACAGAAAGCTTTTTTTATGTCTGGCTTGAAATCTTTATCCCTTGGAAAGGATGTTTGTCAATTTGAAAACTGGGGAGATAATTGGACTACCAGCAAATTTGTCTCCAGCCAACTTATTCTCTTTTGAATTTTCCTGCTTGGCTCTCTCTGGTTTATTACACTCGCTGGCCTGTCCAAAATGTTTTCATCCAGATTATTTAGCTTTTAAAAGAAATGCTATTCCAAATTGACACCATTAATAAAATGCTTTCTTTTTATAGAAAGGAGATTTGTGTTTTCTTATAAGATGGAATGAAGACAAATTATCTTTATTGACTTGATTTGGCTGTGTGCTCTAAATATCAGGATGTTAAGCAAAGTTTTTTTGGGAGAAGAATACATTTATCTCATATTATCTTCTTCTATGCAGTACATTTGAAATGTGGATTTACAGACGACTTTTACGTATAAGCTGGGTTAACAAAATCACAAATGAGGAGGTGATCAGCCCCTGGGAAAGCAAAGGGAAATCATCAAAGTCATTAAAAAGCAAAAGTTAGAATATTTCGGATATGTGATATGACACCCAGAAAAATATGGCATCCTTCACTTAATCCTCCAGGGAAAGATTGAAGGCAAACGAGGTCCAGGCAGAAGAACAACATCATGGCTTCAAAACCTTAGGGACTGGTTTGGACAAAACTCAGCAGCACTTTTTCATGTGGCTGTTGACAAAAATAGGATTGCCATGAACATGATCGCCAACGTCCAATGAAGGATATGGCACAAGAAGAAGAAGAAGATGCAGTACATGGCTCTGGTCAAAACACTGGGTTGCTCTCCGGTTCATTTTTATCCCTTTGAAACATCTCTAGTTTTGTCTTTGGCTGTTCTTTGGATTTTCCACAGCTTTCCTCAAGCACAGTTAAAATTATTCAGACTTAGTTTTCTATTTTTTGCTCTTTTCTATTTTTCGTACTGTGTATTTTAATGTTTGAAAATTCAATAAATACTATTTTAAAATAAATAAATAAAATTATTCAGACTTAAAATAAATTATAGCTTAGTTACTCAACTGAAAGAATTTCCTGGAAAAATATGAAAATAAATATTAATAATCTTGTGATTCTATTTTTAAAATGGTGCAATGTTTGTGCAATCCTCCCTAACTGGGCTAATTTTTAGAGCCAACAACTCAGTTCAAATTATTTGCAGTTGAGGGATTGTGTAAACATAGCAGTTATTTGATATTAATTTCAGATTCTATTTAAAAACCATGCACTACAGACTTGTTCAGTGGTGGTAGCAATTGTCCCATCAAATTCGGTGAGATTTAAGGCAGGCAGTTGGCATAAGAAAAGAGGTTTTGAAAAACCTCTTTCCCAACCTAACAACCACCTCGTCAGTTAGCGAGGACTACCTGTAATTCCTTTCTCTGGTGAACTTCTTATAAAAAAGAACATTATATTTCCCACCATACCCTCAACCAACCCAGGTTAACAGACCACAGTAGCTCTATTCCAGGGGTGAAATTCAGCAGGTTCTGACAGGTTCTGGAGAACTGGTAGTGGAAATTTTGAGCAGTTTGGAGAACCGGCAAATACCACCTCTGGCTGGCCCCAAAGTGGGTCGGGAATGGAGATTTTACAATATCCTTCCCCCACGAGTGGGGAGGGGATGAGGATTTTGCAGTATCCTTCCAAGCAACACCACACCCACCAAGCCACGTCCACAGAACCGGTAGTAAAAAAAAATTGAATTTCACCACTTGTGTGAGATGATGTGCCAAAGTAAATGATATTGTGACATAACCTGATATCATGTTCACACAAAGTAGTAAAATGAGTTTTTTTTTTTACAGAGATTGAATACAAATACAAATCAAGTCCATCTGAATGGAGTTACACTTTTTCCTCTTGCTCTCACCTTCTCACTCTCTGTGGCTCTCAGGGTTGATGAGTGCTATTAATCAGTGGTTTAAATCAGAGAGCATTGACTTAGGAGAAGACATATCTGTCAAAGTGACCTTGGAAAGTCACTGCTATTTATTTAAATCTGTATATTTTAAGAAAAGCAGGTGAAATCACACATCAGCAAAACAGAGACAATTTTAAAAGCACAAAAGAGAAAACAACCAAAACCAAAGAGTTTGGTGTCGTGGTAAAAGTGCTGACTTAGCAACCAGGAGACCGTGAGTTCAAGTCCCACCTTAGGCACAAAAGTCAGTTGGGTGACTTTGGGCCAGTCACTCTTTCTCAGACCAATCCAGCTCACAGGTTTGTTTTGTGGGGAAAACATAGGAGAAGTATTAGGTTTATTCACCACCTTGAGATACTTATAAAGTAATAAAGGTGGGATTTAAAAACCTCTAATAAATAAACGAACAATACCCTTTTCCATCATGGTCCCACCTAATTCCACACTTCTAATCCCCACCCAATAAGGGATCTCTTCTTTTCCTGTGTTTCTATGGCACAGCTTACAGCCAGCAACCAACTTGCAGAGTAGAGTAGAGTAGAGTAGAGTAGTGTAGCGTAGCGTAGAGTAGTAGAGTTGGATAATGACAGGATGATGGTCCTACAATTACACATGTCCACTTGGACAACTTCCTACAAGATGGAGAGACAGAGAACTGGAACAACATAGCAAAAGACCAAATAAAATAAAATAAAATAATAATAACAGAGCTGGAAAGTACCTTGGAGGTCTTCTAGTCCAACCTGCTACTTAAGCAGGAGACCCTTTACCATTCCAGAGAAATGGCTGCCCAGTCTCTTCTTAAAAACCTCCAGTGATGGAGCACCCACAACTTTTGAAGGCAACCTATTCCACTGGTTAATTGTCCTGTCAGGACATTTCTCTTTATTTCTAGGTTGGATCTCTCCTTGTTTGTTTTCCATCCATTACTTTTTGTCCCGCCTTCAGGTGCTTTGAAGAATACATTGACTCCCTCTTCTCTGTAGAAGCCCCTCAAGTACTGGAACACTGCCATCATGTCACTCCTAATCTTTGTTTTCATTAGACTAGATATTCCCAGTTACTGTTTCATATGTTTTAACTTCCAGTCCCCGAATCATCTTTGTTGCACTGTTTCTAGAGTCTTCTGTTATGTCTTCTGTTGCTCCAATTTTACATTCTAAAAGGTAAAACGCTAAAGAGACACATTGGAATTTCTTACCAAACCCTATTGTGGTCCTCTCTTTTCCACAGGTCCCTGGAGGTCCGCTACTTCACCTACGGAATCCTCTTTGGTTGTGGCAGCTCCTTCGCCTTCCACCCATCCCTGGTCATTCTGGGCCACTACTTCAAGCGACGACTCGGTCTGGCCAACGGACTGGTGACGACCGGCAGCTGCCTCTTCTCCGTGGGTCTCCCGTTCCTCCTGAAAATCGTGGGAAAGGCCCTTGGCCTTTCTCGCACCTTCCAGATGCTGAGCGCCTTCCTGCTGGTCCAGATCTTCTTGTCCCTGACCTTCCGCCCGATGTTGCCCTCGATCTCAAGTCCTCGAGATAGGGAGATCAAATTAGACACCCGGAGCTGGATGCAGCAATGCATGGCACAGATGCGGAAATATTTCAACTTGCGAGTCTTCAGAAGAAAGACGTATCGAGTTTGGGCCTTTGGCATAGCTACTGCCATCCTGGGATACTTTGTCCCTTACATGCATCTGGTGAGATGGAGAGGGGAAGGGAGATGGGGCTTGCTCCTCATCCTATGGGAGAGAAGGAGACAATGTCAGAAGGGAGAGCAGGCTAAGAATCCAGATAGTCCTCCAGAGAGAGGGTTCCAAAGTGATGGGGCTGGTCTTTAAGGAAGCAGCACCGCAGGTGTGCTCTTTGTGGAAGCAAGCTGTGCCTTCTGCTGAAGCCAGTCCCAGGGCTGATGGCCTTCTACTTAGGAAGTCTAGGTGGCCATCATGGAAGGTCAGAGTTATGAAAGTGATGCTTCCTGACTGTATGGATGGCCCAGCACTCTCTGCCCTCTCAGGCATTATCTGAAGTTGTCTTCCAATATTTACAGCTAGTCCTCAACTCGTAACAGTTCAATGTTACAACGGTGCTGAAAAAAGTGACTTATGACCATTTTCACACTTACGACCGTTGCAGCATCCTCATGGTCATGTGATCAAAATTCAGATGCTTGGCAACTGATTCATATTTATGACGGTTGCAGTGTCCTGGGGTCACATGATCCCTTTTTGCGACTTTCTGACAAGCAAAGTCAACGGGGAAGCCAGATTCACTTAACAACTGTATCACTAACTGAACAATTGCAGTGATTCACTTAACAACTGTGGCAAAAAAGGTCATAAAGTGGGGCAAAATTCACTTAACCAGTGTCTCACTTAGCAACAGAAATGTTGGGCTCAATTGTGGTCGTACGTCGAGGACTACCTGTACTTATTCATTCAGTTAATATGGCTGCCCTTCTTCAATGCAATCCTTAAAAGTGAGATAAAAGCAACAAAACAAAATCAAAAATACCATTTATAGCAGCTGAGAAAAATCATACAACAGTTGATCTAGCTATGATATAGGCTTATCTACGCATCCAAAACTGGTCTTCACGGCCTTACAAAAGTCCAACAAAGGGGACAGACAACCTGATGTCTGGAGGAACGATATTCTAGAAGGTCCAGAGGATTGGGGCTCCCCCCCCCAAAAAAACCCCGCTCTATTCCTGAGCCCTGCCAAATGGCAACAATCATTCCCCATGCTGGCTGGGGAATTCTGGGAATTGAAGTCCACAAGTCTTAAAGTTGCCAAGGCTGAAGACCCCTGCTTTAAGGAGTACAAAGCAGGCCTAAAATTCCCACTCCACACCCCTCCAAAATATACAAAGGGGAGATCACAAATCATGGGTTATCGCCCCCTTTTTATGCCTGTCCAACTTTTTCTGAAATGACACAGAACAGTGTGCAAATATCTCTTTTTATCAAGATGCACAACTGGATCTACCAATTTGGAACCTGCAATTCTGAAGAAGTTAGAAGAAACGCAAGACTAATGCCTCTTTTCCGTTTTTCCAGGTGAAGTTCGTAGAAGTGAAATTCAACGAAAAGGAAAGATCCTGGATTGTGCTCGTTTGCATAGGAGCAATGTCAGGAATTGGACGGCTGGCCTCCGGACACATCGGTGACCTCATCCCTGGATTGAAGAAGATATATTTGCAGGTAGGAGATAAGTGCTTATTTCAAATTTCCAGTTATTGATTACTTTGCACTTCCTCCAGAATGTTTCATCTGTGTGTGAGACATTCTCCACCGTCCACACGTGTTGTTGACTTAAGATGAGGGGGCTGAAGGGAAAACATGAAGAACAGTTGCAGGAATTGGGTATGCTTAGTCTAATGAAAAGAAGGAGTGACATGATAGCAGTGCTCCAGTATTTGAGGGGCTGCCACAAAGAAAAGGGGGTCAACCTATTCTCCAAACCTACAGGAGGCAAGGCAAGAAGCAATGGATGGAAACTAAACAAGGAGAGATCCAACCTAGAAATAAAGAGAAATTTCCTCACAGTGAGAACAATTAATCAGTGGAACAGCTTGCCTCCAGAAGTTGTAGATGCTCCATCATTAGAGGCTTTTAAAAAGAGATTGGACAGCTATTTGTCTAAAATCCTTGAGCAGAGGGTTGGGCTAGAAGACCTCCAAGTTCCCTTCCGTTATTCTGTTTAAGAAGATTCCATTTTTCATGGAGCAGAACTTTGTCAATGCGCCATTTTTAAAGTCCTGCCTTAGGGTTGTGCCATCCTTGGCATTCCATGGTCCAAAGATGCTTCGATGCCCACAGACACAAAAATAGAGCATCTCTGCAAGACTTCAATCCAGCCGCTTCTTTGCAGTTAATTAAACAAAATCTGCAGATGATGCTGGCTGGGGAATTCTGGGAGTGGAAATCCAAATGTCTTAAAGTTACCAAGGTTGAAAAACACTGCTATAGAGTATATTGCTTTCAGGAACTGTAGTGACACAGTGGTTAGAATGCAGTACCGCAGGCTAAGTCTGCCCACTGTCAGGAGTTCGATCCTGACCGGCGCAAGGTTGACTCTGCCTTCCATCCTTCCGAGGTCGGTAAAATGAGGACCCAGATTGTTGGGGGGCAATATGTTGACATTTGTAAACTGCTCATAAAGCACTATGAAGCAGTGCATAAGTGCTATTGCTGTTGCTATTGCTTTCTCCTGTATATTTTAGTCTGACATCTGGAGATTATGTAGCCAATAAGGTTTTCTGATGAAATACAGAGTCATACTTATGAGTATGTCCAATTATTTTTTAAATTTAAAAGGTACATTTTTTAAAAGGCAGAAAATGTAAGCACACTCTGTTCTGGAATCCTTCTGCAGAACACAAATTTGCTTTAATGAAGGTCAAAGAAGACACAGCTGAAGTTTGCTCTAAGTGTCGTCCTGATTTATTTATTTTTATTAAAGACATTTTTGCAAGATAAAACAATATTTAAAGGAGAAAGAAAGGAAAGTAAAAAAAGATAGTGAATACGTAGTAAAGAAATAAAAGAGAAAATAAAAGAGAAAATGCAAGATGTAAAGAAGTGGCTTCTGGTTCCATTTGTATGTTATCTTCTCTCTCTAAGGCAGTGTTTCTCAACCTTGGAAGCTTGAAGATGGGTGGACTTCAACTCCCAGAATCCCCCAGCCAGCGCTGCTGGGGGATTGGGCCTGTGAACTCAAGGGAACAGAAAACAAAATAAATATTCTTTTAGAAATATTAATGTACCAGAAGAGAATATTAATATTATCACCTTGCTAAAATGGCCAGCCTCCAGGTCACCAAAGATATGCTTGGATTTCCTTCTCTTTCCTATCTCCTCTCCTGAATCCAGTTTTTCAAAAATTATTTTAGAATATTTTTTTTTGCCATTTTGCTTGAATCCAGAAAATAGAAATCCTGGGACATTATTTTACTAAGGGTATAAAATTTTAATGAATAAACCACATTAGCACAGAAGAAGCAAAACCAGCTCTGGGTTTCTCACGCAAAAGCAAGCATAGTTCATTCCCCCTCTTCCCATGGGCCACCCACAGTCCATTACGTCCACCAATTACTTCTGTTCATTTTGTTATGAAACCAGCTGGCCACACTGGGACATCTGCTCGGTTTGTCCTTGGGATGCCAGCAATTTCCTAAACGCCGATGGATGCTTGAATAGCATTCTCCCTCCCTTGCATTCCATCCACCACCCTCCCTCTTATTGTCAAGATGTGAGTGAAGGAAAAATGTAGGTGAAAGTGTGAATCAGTCTTGACAGGACCCCTGCGAAAGTCCTAGACTTCAACTAAAAGTCTTATAATAAATGTGTAGTGAGGCAAAAGTGCAACTATATGTTTGTCACGTTCACACATGTTCATTCAGAGTGATAAGATGGCCAGCCAATAAATATTACAAATAAATAAATAATAAAATATGTGCATAAATATACACAATCTAGCTGGATTCGCCATTTTACCCAATATTGTGGTAATATTATTTTGGAAGCCTGTTTTCTCACTGGGATAGAAGGAGAGAAAAGATTGACAGTTGGATTGTCCAGTAGGCTAGTCTTCATGTCAATCAATCAGAGTAGAGATGGCTCATTTATTATTCATTCAGAAGGCAATGCAGGGGAGATTGCTGGGCCTAGCCTAGAGTGATGATAGACCTCACTGGGAGACTGTCTACTCAACCCACCTCATGGGAGTCTTGAAGAAGTAAAGTTAGAGAGATGTTCCCTCCATCTACGTTTCTTGAACTCTCAGAGAAAAGGAAGATAGGAAGGCAATAAAAGTAGCTGTGAAGTAGAGACCAGGCATAGTGACCATAAGATCCTTTTAATGCTCAGGAATACTGCATTGTTTTTGATCTGGGTACAGAGAAACAGAGAAGTTCTTCAAATGAGCTGATTCTCACAATTTCCCATTTATACTGTCCATTCTACCATAAATAACCAAATAACATTAGCCAAGAAACTTAATTAAGCTGAGCATGCAGTACTGTATAAGGCCCAGCCAGGTGTTTGGTTAAGGTGTCAGTCTGCTTATGCATTCTAGTCCAGTCCTAGGCAGAGGGACAGTTGGGTGGTCTTGGGTCAGTCCCTCTCTTAGCCCTAGGAAGGAGGCAAAGATGAACTATATTTGAAAAACCTTGACAAGAACACTGCAAGAGCTTGTCCAGGCAGTCTCCAAGAATCAGACATGATTAAGAATGAAAAAGCAGGAGTATGTAGCTCTTCAGCCAACTTAGGAACGTATATCAACATTTGATACCACAATATTTCTACAGGCCCAGCAGAAATGGCCTTATTCCAAGTCATCTTTAGTTCAGATAGTTGAGGACTTGTGTGGCCTCAACTCCCAAAGTCAGATCTGAGCTTGGGATGTTCTGCAGGCTGTCCATAGTGGGAGTCTTTCCTGTTGGCTGGAAGAAGCAGCTTATTTTATGTAATTCGTTAAAAAAAAAATCAGTAGAAATAAGCCATTTGTGAACATTATAAAAGGTCTGAAGGGAAAAATTAGTCTTTCAAAACTCCAGCCTTGGCCTAGAGCTGACCTTCCATTCATTGCCAAGGAGAGTATGTTGTAAAGTTGGAAGCATGACAGAGATTTGAGATGATCTAAATAGAGAAAAATATATTTAATGGATGGAAACAACTCTAAGAATCCCTATAATGGGGTTAGCACACAAGCACTTTGCTAAGAGCAAGGGGATGGCAGAAGAGTTGCTATCACCTTCCAACTTTTTCCTCTTGGTTGCTTCCAAAAACTTCACTTTCTTTGAAATTTAGCCTTATCTGTGGATCTCGAATATCTAGAGCACATTGTCTCTGAATGCCTTGGGGCCTGAGACATTGAACCAAAGTACTCCATTAAGTGCCCTGGCTAATTTGCTATCAGGGACAGGACCTTTGGGAAAAACAGAAGAGAAAATGAGACAGGGGAAGGAAGGGAGATGTTCAGGGGTTTAGGAATGGAAGAGCTAACTAAGGCAAAGTGGAAGACAATATTTATATTCTTACAGAGAAGTTTAATCATCTTGGCATAGCCACACACGTCTAGACTTAAAGTGAATTTTCAACCCTTTGGTTGCCCAGCCAACTTTCATGTAGAACTGAGCATCCATGAAAAGATTTGGAGAGTCCTGCCCCCTCACCCCCCAGATTAGAAAGTCTGGAAAGTGGACCATGCTCTCTAAACATCGTCTGTGGATATAGCCTAAGGTGTTCATCCTCCTTAACCAGAGATGGGGAAGACATTTTATTTGTTTGTTTGTTTGTTTAATCAAAGATGGTAAGATTTCTGCAACAACCTGAAGTAGCATTTGCAGAATGTCAGCATTCAGTTTAAAAATTAATACAGATGAAATGGTGAGATTTCAGTGGCTTCAGGTGAAGATGTCAAAATGTGGTGAGGTGGCAGGTGAGAGTACCAGAATCCCACACATTCTCAAGCAAGAATGACAGAGTGTTGCATTTTCACATGAAATCTCAGGGATGAGATGTCAGAAATCTTGTGTGAGTTTGAATTCTTGCATGAGGGAGAGAGAAGAGAGAGAGAAGTCACTTCCCCTCATCACTTATAAAGTGTGCCACTCACTGAGGCTCTCAGCCCTTTGCTTAGGGAAGTCCTCCACATTTGTCTTGGTTGTCTAAACAGCTTCATTGTTTTGACTCCTCAGGTTGCATCCTTCATCATCTTGGGTGTCATGTGCATGATGTTGCTACAGTGCCAAGCATTTTGGGGGGTGATTGTCGTCTGCCTCTTCCTTGGACTCTGTGATGGACTCTTCATCACCCTTATGGCCCCCATTGCCTTTGAGCTGGTTGGGCCTATGGAGGCTTCTCAAGCCATTGGCTATCTTCTGGGACTCATGGCCATTCCCATGTCAGCTGGCCCACCAATTGCAGGTGAGAGAATTTTCTAGCTTGACGATTTGGGCAGGAAGATGTTTTCAATACGTCCTTATCCAATAAGTCCTTATCCAAGCAAGATATAAAAAGTTGGTAGAGGAGGGACAACGTCATAGTTGGCTCTCATCTTTAATCCAGGATCTGTAGATTCTTTGACTTGGCCAGCCATTAGTAGCTCAACTGACTCATTGCACTAAGTATAACATTGTCCTAAATGACAAATGGACAAATATGTATTGGGTAAATACACCATAAGTATACTGTGGCTTATCTAGTTTGGGTTTCCATTTGGCTGAGTAGGTTGCCTCCTGAAGGCCCAACAGTAATGGTGGTTATTTTAAAAGCCAAGGTGGTGCAGTGCTTAGAGTGCAGTATTGCAGGTTATTTTTGCTGACTGCTGGCTGCCAGCTGTTTGGCAGTTTGATCCTGACTGGCTCAAGGTTGACTCAGCCTTCCATTCTTCCCAAGTCAGTAAAATGAGGAGCCAGATTGTTGGGGACAATGTGCTGACTTTGTAAACTGTTTAGAGAGGGCTGTAAGGCACTGTGAAGCGGTATATAAGTCTAAATGCTATTGCTATGGCTTCATTTGGCTTATCACCATGCAAACCAATTCTCATCATACTGTCATTTCAGATGTTAATCCTAGGCAAATTTTCTCAGTGACAGTTTGGTGTGATAGCCAGATTGAGCCAGTATACCGAAATACTTTCTTCTCAATCGCCATCCTCCACATATGTCAGGTTCTCTGGGATTTCTCCATACTTAAGGAAGTTGATGAGATGCTGTGAGATAATAGACCCATTTTACAGGTTCTTAATTGCAAGAAGAAGCAGGAAATGTGGTCTGGGTGTTCCTTTTCACTTTGAAGTAGCCGTATTTGGAAACAAATGGGTAGGAGAGGATACCAGAATATAAACTGACAGCAAATAGCACTCCTTACTAGGACTGATGATGTTACCTAGGGTAATGAAACGTCTGCAAGAAAACAAGCAAGCTTAGAGAGCACCAAGGACCCCTCAATTCCTAGTCATTTATAATTGTTAGCAAAACATCTAAAAGTGAGCTTGGAATGCATCACCCCAGCAGCCAACAGAAGTAGTTGTAAACTAATTATTCACCTCTCAGGCCAACACTAACCTCCATCAAATTCTCTGTGCTTCAACTTGCATAAGAAAAACCTCTAAAACCCTGGGGTGAGGCTCATAAGTGGTAATAAGTAATGTTGTTGGCCACTGTGTAAATGCTGGATTTTGAGGTGTTTGAAATATATATATATATATATTTAATTTGGCAACTATCAGGAGGCCCAGATTATTTTACTGCTTAGAAAATAGCCAAATGTTGCTCAATGAAGTCCCATTTTTTTCCAGATTAAAAAGATCAAAAGATTTTGCACAAGAAGTGCTGCAGCTGGAAAGTTCTTGGCCAGTTGTACCTCTTCTTCTGGGAATAATTTGTATTCTTTAAAAATCAGACTGCCTCCTCCCCATCCGGTCATCTGAATTTGGAATAAGTAACATTTAATGATATTTTTTATTAAAGCCCATTAAAAGCTAAATTGAAAGACTTTACACTGAATTCAAGGCTCAGAACTGCTCAATGCTATGAACAATTTTAAAAAATCATTTAGTTCACAATGCCTCCAATTAAAATCGGGGCATATTTTGCAAAAGGGTCAAGGAGTCAAGGAGTTGATGGCAAATTGTTACCATCTGTCAGATTTTATATCAGAACCAGCAATAATTTTCCTTTCTCCTGAAACCGGACCTGTCACCCAGTGGCTCACTGTAAATACTTCAAGGATACACAGCTCAGTCAGATAAGTTGCTTTTATTGTAAATAAGACAGAAGCGATATCAGCCTTCTGTAGAACACAGGAATTAAGCCCTCTCTGTGTACATGTGTGTTAGGTCCAAGTTTTAAATCCTAGGTCTTTTTCATTCACCTTTCTGAATCAATGGGTTCTTAGCTGTTCTTTTCCTAGCTTGACATTTTCTTCCCATCTTGCCATCATCAGCCCTTATGAGAAGAATAAGGAAGTCTTAAGAGCAGAGCCATTTAGCTGTGAAGACCAGAAAATAGCTTTTTCAGAGGTCATGAAATACCACTTGATATATTTTAAATCAGCCTTTCCTATATGTGGGACTACAACTTCCATCCCTCAGCCAGCTAAGTCAGTGGATGTATCATCTGATCAAGAGGATTGTTGTAGTCTAGCAGCACAGGTCAGAAGTCAAAAGGATGGAAAGAGCTGCTCTTACAGCAGTTCCAAGAAGGCTCCACACACCCATTTGCACTATTCAGGTGACTCTGAGGGCACAGAGAAACCTCCAAGTGCCTCAACTACTCTCAGAGAGAGTGCTAATAACCAGAGGACTGCAAGGAATATAAATCCTTCCATTTTTACCATTCAGTCAGAACTGAACAAAGCCCAGTTGCCTTTTGAAAAAGCACCTTTGGGACAACCATGACCTGGATGACTGAGAATCTCCATAGATAAAGGTTCTTGTTTGATCTGGCCAACATCCTTTTAGCTTGGTCCTTGCAGCTAAGAATTGCCATGAAGGTAGAATCCTGATTTCTCAGTTCAAATTTTAAATCCAAATAGTTATTGAAGTCCAGAATTCTTTTTCTTTTCCCTCTGTGTCTTTATCCTTGGGCATAAAAAACAGTAATGAAGTTGCTAGGATTCCATAACTCAAGGGCAGAAGCCCTCTCCAACTTCACTTTTCATTATATGTTACTTGCTTTTCCTCTCTTTTAGGACTCCTTCATGACCATTTTGGAAATTACCAGCTTGCCTTCTACTTTGCTGGAGTTCCTCCAATAATTGGAGGTCTCATTCTTGCATTTGTTCCCTTCATCCATCAGTGTCAGCTCAAGAAGAAACGATTGGATTCGGGGAAAGACAAGATGTTGGGTTCAGAGATGGTCCCAAATGGAGAACTCCTACCAGGTTCTCCAACCACAGAGGGAGCTATGTTGTAAACTCTGGCTTGGTTACCCATCCTTTCACCAGCAGCACTTTCTGATCCCCATCTGAGTCAAGATCTTTTGCAAGAAGAACTTCACCTCTTGTGTGATAACAGAAAATCACTCTGTTGGTTGGTCCTGATCAAATTCTGGGCTTTCAAGTTGAATTTGAGTTTCCTTTGCCTCTTTCTTTCCTACCGAACATTCTCATTGTTCCCACATTTATGTCCCAGCTGTGATTTTTTTCCAGTTAGCACATTAGTGGATTATGCATAGATGACTGTGATAACATTTTAATAGTTTGTGTTGGACCATTTCCTCTCTCCCCCAAAATAGATTCTGTAGCCATACTTAGTTATTTTGCTGACAGTGAGCTTAAATTCACTGGAAACCCCATCCGGAGTGAATTGTGAAGCTGCCAAATTCCCAGAAATATAAATTAATATATAAATTAATATATACTGATGGAGACAGAAGGACAAGAGCTGAACGGGTGGATTCTGAGAAGTTTTCTTTTCAACCAGAAGTTCAGCCTTTTTCTCGTCTCCCTAAAATCTGTCCCCAAACAAGTAATTAAGCTTTTTTTCCCCCTTCCAGTTCCGTTGGGTTGTGAATTCTTTGTTTGATTTCTTTTGCATATTAAATGAATCTCAAAAGGAAGAATAATTCCTCATTTATGGATACAGTTGAGGGACCCAGTTGAAAACACTGACGGCTGCTCTTTTGGAGACCCGAAAGGTGGATCTCGGATTCTCTTACTTGGAGGGGTGGAGATTTCATTGCAGGACTTGCTTGGTCCTTAATTGTTTTAAGAAAGGTAGCTGGAAGAAAAAAAAACAGTGGACATTTATACCAAAGGCTGCAGTTGAGGAAACTGAGGCTCTAACCTTATTACAGAGGAAGGAGCCCATGGAATTGTGCAAGTCCCTCACTTCCATTTGGGGAAGGAACATTTTCTCTTTTCCTTAAGGGCCTGAAAACAACCCAGGAGGGAGAAACAAATGCAAAACATTAACCTGGCTTTCTGACAGCGTCCAAGTAAACGGAGGCTTGTCAAAGGTCTCTTGTCGTGAGCTGTAACAAGTGTCAGCTCCTTTCCCAATTGGCTTCTTATTCCCCAGTTTCCCAAATCATTCCTGGAATGGAGATTTACTGAGTTTTGACCTTATTTGACCTTATTTGACCTTATTCAGGATTTGCATTCTTCATCACCATCTATAGGTAGTCCTCGATTTATGACCCCAGTTGGGAGCAGACTTTCCATCACTAACATGGCAGTTGTTAAGGGAGTTGCACCCAATTTTACAACCTCTTTTGCCATGGTTGTTAAGTAAATAACTGCATTGTTAAGTGAATCATTAAGCTGTTCAGCCACTCCAGATTGCCCCATTGATTTTGCTTGACAGAAGCCACAGGTAGTCCTTGATTTAGAACAGTTCATTTAGTGACCGTTCAAAATTACAACTACATTGAAAAATGGGACTTACGACCATTTCCCACATTTACAACTTTTGTAGTAAAATTACGACCTATAGTCACATGATCAAATTTCAATTGCTTAGCAACTGGTTCATACTTATGATGATTGCAGTGTCCCGTGGTCACATGATCCCTTTTTGCAACCTTCTGACAAGCAAAGTCAATGGGGAAGCCAGATTCACTTAAGAACTAGGTTACCAACTTATCAACTGCAACGATTCACTTAACAACTGTGGCAAGAAAGGTCATAAAATGGGGCAAAAGTTAAGTGTTTCACTTAATGACAGAAATTTTGGAGTCACTTGTTGTCGTAAATCAAGGACTACCTGAACAGGGAAAGTTGCAAATGACAATCACATGAGCCCGGGATACTGCAAATGTCATAAATACATGCCAGTTACAAAATGCCCCAATTGTGATCATGGGAACACTGTGACAATCAAAAGTGTGAGGGTCATCATAAGGGGTTTTTTGTGCTGTCAAAACATCAAATGGTCACTAAGTAAATGGTTGTAAGTTGAGGACTACATGTAGTTGAAGACTAACGTTATTTTCCCTAGTCAACTGTGTCATCTGAACAAGAATCAGAAAATATGTTCATCTCCCTTAACACTGGCAAAAACTAGATTGCCTTAGCAGCTCTTTTCCCTTTTTCTTTCCATGTATTTCCCTCTGACTGTATAGATTACAGGAAAAAGTGGATGGAGAACACCATCCCAACCATGGCTAAACTGATGCTGATCCCTGCTGTGCACCGTGGAAGTGATAACCTCCCAGGTCCTTTAACGTTGGCTCAGACAGCAGCAGAGACCGCTGCTTCTCATGTCAATGTGGTGTCTGACCATATGCTGTGAACTCATGAGAGTTGACTTGAACTGGGAAGAACCACTGGGCCAGTCCTACATAACAGGGTTCTCCCAGTTTGGCAACTTTAAGATTTGTGGACTTCAGCTCCCAGAATTCCCCAGCCAGCTATGCCGGGAATTCTGGCAGTTAAAGTCCACAAGTCTTAAAGTTGCCAAGTTTGGAGACCCCTGTCCCAAGATTGTTTCTCAACCTTAGCAACTTTAAGAAGTTTGTGGACTTCAACTCCCACAATTCACTGGCTGGGGAATTCTGGGAGTTGATGTCCAGACATCTTAAAGCATCTACCGTTGAGAAATATTACCCTGTACGGATGCTAAATGCAGGTGTACAGTCATCAGTTAAAAGTGTGGTCCATTTTCATATCTCCCAAAGAACCACTGATGGAAGTTTCAACCATCCCTCTCTTCTGTGGATTCATCCCAAATCCACTCCTCCTGAAGCTATTCTAAAGCCCAGGAGAAAAGCAGGCAGAACTTGATCTCAGGACTTGGGGGCTGGAGAAGGAAATCTTCAATGGTCCAAAAAAAGAAGGATTTTATCTCACTCCCATCCCCACTTCATGTGTCACAGTCCACAGTTTGCTTTGAACCACAATGAGTGGTCAGTGAGTTTGGTTCTGGGGAACACCATCCCTTCTCCAGTTTGTGTAATAAAGTTAGATATGATCCATATTTGGAGGTATTTTGATTCCTTATAGAATCAGTAATAGAGCAGTAGAGCTGAGTTTCTCAGCAGCTTCAAGATATGTGGACTTCGGCTGTGCTGGCTGCGGAATTCTGGGAGTTGAAGTCCACCTGTCTTTGTTGCTGAAGTTGAGAAACTGCAATAGCGAATAATCCAATACATGGCTGAACTTTCTTCAGATGCCTCCATTGTGTTCTCCATGGATGCCCACCGTGTCCCAGCAGTAAATATCATTAGTTTCCACCCCTTAATGCAGAGATTTTACAGTCTTGTACTCTTGCAAGTTATAAAACACCCATCGAAGGTATGTGCCATCTGTTGTTGTATAGCTTGCCAACAATCCACTGATTCCAGATTTTTCTTTTTTTAAAAAAAAATCTCTGCAGGTTTTCTATATGTCTCCCGCTCAGATATAGCCATGGAACTTGAGTTTGTTGAGTATACCAGTTTTGATGACATTCAGACATTCTAAGTCCTAAGGCAGAAAAGGCAACCCTTTTCAGGCGGGGGGGGGTGTGTGAGGGGGGTGGGAGGCATTACCCCCCTCCCCTTTTGTCTTTGCTGAAGGCAACAAGCGGTTTTGCTAATGACATCACAATGTCTTGGCCCATTTTAGGAAGAGAAGGGGCAAAATGGAAGTTTTAAGGCTTCCGTAGAAATGAAAAGGATTCATTTTGCCCCTTAAAACTCCCCAGACAAGAAAATGTATTTTATGGGTTTTTTAAAATTTTATTTTAGAAACGTGTTAAGGCCACACAGCTCCACAACAAATCTGGGTGGCATTCAACAAAAGCAAGTATACTCTGTAATTAAAATAAATCACCCAACCACCGTAAGAGACACTGCCATCAAAGACAATCAAACTGGCAGGACCTACCACCCGCTCAAGGTCTGAATTGCCAGACCTCTTCTGACCTTGGTTCAGGAGGGAGTCGGATGTATCTCAGGCAGGATGCAGTTCCAGCCTATGAGGAGTGCCTTAAGCCTCTGTCTACAAAGAGGCTTTTGCCCTTTAAAATTTCCCCAAGCACCCCATCAAACCAAAAAAGATCAAACAATTCAACCTTGCCCTTTGCAGTCCTGTATTTCTGGGTTAGTTGTCCCTGCTGTACAGCTTGCGGTGCACCTGTTAAGCCAAGAAACTAAAAGCAGAAGCTTATCAAAAGTTGTTAGGGAAGCTTAGCCACAATCCTGTATTTTCCTTCCCCGGTTCATACACACCTGGGGTTGCAATGTTTAAACTCAACATTTATCAGCAGGAAAAGCCCTTCTGATCCAGCTGTCTCCCAGAGGTGAAATTATCCCAGCATGATCCAAGTGTGTTCCATGAAGTCTGATTGCATTCCTGCACAACCAACTTTTGTGACACCCTTTACTTTTGTAAAGAATGCTTAAATGGTCTTTGTGACTTTTTTTTCCACGAAGAAGTGTAAAGTTTGTGTAAAATTTGTTCTTTCCAAAGGTTTTTCCTTTCTCTTCTGAGCAATTTCTCTGCTTCCTAGAACCATCATATGTATCAAATGTTAAATGTATGGCCAATTGCTCTAACTCTTCTGTGTTCTGATGAAATAATGGCATTTTTGTAACTTTGGTTTTCCTTCTGGGTAAATGAAGAGGCCTTGCACTGGGGTGGCCTCGGAGCACCTCTGCTCACAGTAGCTCAAAATTAGTTCCCTTTGATTTTGTGTACAGGTTGTCCTTGACTTACGACAATAATTGCACCCAAAATTTAGGTTGCTAAGTGAGACATTAGTTAAGTGAGTTTTGCTCCATTTTATGACCTTTCTTGCCACAGTTGTTAAGTGAATTGTTGCAGTTGTTAAGTTAGTAACATGACTGTTAAATGAATCCGCCTTCCCCATTGATTTTGCTTGTCAGAAGGTCACAAAATGTGATCACATGACCCCGGGGACACTGCAACCATCATAAATACGAGTCAGTTGCCAGGTGTCTGAATTTTGATCACGTGATCATGGGAACACTGCAACAGTTGTAAGTGTGAAAAATGGTCATAAGTCCAATTTTCCAGTGCTGTTGTAACTTCGAACAGTCACTAAATGAACTGTTGTAAGTCAAGGACTACCCATAATGTATTAAAAAATTGCCATGACAGTATCATGCTTTTTTAATGTATGTTTCATGCATAATATGTGTAAAACGGATCAGTTTTACACATATTATGCATGGTCATCTGTTCACACATCCCTTGGGTGCCCCCGGCCAGAAACAGTGTTGTAAATTCACAAAATATACTTCACATGGTATCATTAAGCAAAACCAAGAAACCTTTCCCGATACCCTGGTTTCTGGACTCAAATAATATTGGATTCCAGGCTGCCAAAAAGGTTGCTCTCCCTTGAGATAGAAGCGACGTAAGAAAAAATGTTGTTTTAATAGATGGTGAGAATTTTGATTTTTCAGGACAACTGATTCAAATTACATTTCTGCGGTTAGAATTCTAGCCTCTATTTGTTTTGAAATAATGCCTTGCCTCCTACTCCGACCCAACTTTTTTCCATGTTCAAAAGCTGAAAACAGACATTTGGAAAAGGCAGTAGATTACTTTTGAATAGAGCAATGTTTCTCAAGCTTGGCAACTTTGAGATGTATGGACTTCAATTCTCAGAATTCTGAGAGTTGAAGTCCATACATCTTAAAGTTGCCATGGCTGAGAAACACAGAATAGAGAGTCTTGTTATGTCAAGAAAGCCTCTAATAAGAAAAATTCCCAAAATTTGATCTAAGGGATCTCAGCAGGAATTCAGGTGTAGAGACTCGTGAGATTTTGACATTTGATGGGATTCTGGCCAAATAATTTTTATGTAATTTTGAAAACTTGTAAATGCCAGCAGAAGAAAATGCATATTAGTATGGATCATACAGATGGCATATGTAGTAGAAAAGATTATGATTATGTTACATATCAAGGAATAATCCGGGAGCCTCTGTTCCAGTGGAATGAATTAAGGAAGTCCAAAGGAATTCTTAATTAGCTGTCATAATTGTATAAAAGTTAATATGGTACACTAAAGCCCATTTACTGGCTTTACTTTTTACAGCCCTGTTTACGTTTACTGCCCCAGTGGCACACTGGTGAGAATGAAGTATTGCAGGCTAATTCACTGCTCATTGCCAGCAGTTCGATCCTGACTCAAGGTTGACTCATTGGTGGTGGCACATCGGTTAGAATGCAGTATTGAAGACTAACTCTGCCCACTGCTGGGAGTTCGATCCTGACTGGCTCAAGTTTGACTCAAGCCTTCCATCCTTCCGAGGTGGGTAAAATGAGGAGCCAGATTGTTGGGGACAAGAGGTTGACTCTGAAGACCCCTTAGAGAGGGCTGTAAAGCACTGGGAAGTGGTACACAAGTTTAGCGCTATTTCTATTGTTACACAACAGTCAAAGGAAGCCGTGGGGATCAGAGGCCACCGTTCAATGTTTCAGCCTTCAGTAGGGCTGCAGAAGGAACTCCAGTGAGTTGATACCATTCCTGAAAAGGCGAGAGAAATATTTTAAGAGAAAGTTTTCAACTTCTTCAGGGGTTTGGGAGGAGGACAGCTCTGCTCCACAGGCTTCCTATTTCATTCCCCCCCCCCCCCATTTTTAAAGCTTGGGATGAGGAAATGTGAACATTAGGCCTTTCAGGGTTGGCGGCCTGAAATCAGCATGCAGTCAGCTGCAGATACTGAGCTGCCATGTGCACATTTAAGACCTTTGGGTGGTAGGTTATCCACTATCTTTATCTTTATTTGATTTGTATACCGCCCTACTCCCGAAGGACTCAGGGCGGTGAACAGCCAAACAGTAAAATACATAAATACAAAATTTAAAAACAGGATAAAATCGAATTAAACAATTTGGCCCAGAGAAATTAAAACACCCCAATCATTTAAAAAACAGATTAAAATTTGCATATTAAAAAGAAAAGAGGGAAGAGATTAGGCCAGGCCCGCCTGGTAGAATAAAAAGGTCTTCAAAGCACAGCGGAAGGTACGCAGATCCGGAATCCTCCGTATCTCGGGGGGGAGCTCGTTCCAGATCGTAGGTGCCCCCACAGAGAAGGCTCTCCCCCTGGGGGCCGCCAGTCGACATTGTTTGGCTGACGGCACCCGGAGGAGTCCCTCTCTATGGGAGCGTACCGGCCGGTGGGAGGCTATTGGTGGTAGTAGGTGGTCCCGCAAGTACCCAGGTCCTGAGCCATGGAGCGCTCTAAAGATGGTAACCAAAAGGTGGTAAGAGAAAGCCAAACTACAGTGCCTGTCAGTACAGGTAGTCCTCGACTTATGACCACAACTGAGCCCAGAATTTATGCTGCTAGGCAAGGAATTTGTTAAGTGAGTTTTACCCCTTTTTATGACTTTTCCCCCCACATTTGTTAAGTGAATCACTGCAGTCGTTAAGTCGTTAACACAGCTGTTAAGTGAATCTGGTTTCCACATTACTTTGCTTCTCAGATGGTCGCAAAAGAGGATCACAACATGACCTCGGGACCCAGCAACCGTCATAAATATGAGTCAGTTGCCAAGCGTTCAAATTCTGATCACGTAACCATGGGGATGCTGCAACGGTCATAAGTGTGCAAAATGGTCATGGGTCACATTTTTCAGTGCCGTCGTAACTTCAAACGGTCACTAAATGAACTGTTGTAAGTCGAGGACTACCTGTATAACCCCAGCCGCTTGGTGTACAGCCCTAACTGGCACAGCAACTGAGCCCATTCTGTGTGCTTCGCTACCCTTCCATTTGAAATATGGGTGCCTTTTGCCCCACTTTCAGAAGAGCCCTCCTTAGGTTCCCCTGAAAAAAGACCCACCTTAATTTGGGAATTTCTCCCAAGGGACCATCAACAGACAAGGTCTGGGGAGAACAAGGACTCGGAGAAGTCGGCAGGTCCTTCTGGGTCTCTCTTGCAGCTCTTCTGCACCAGCCACTGTCAGGTTCTGCTCTTTGACCCCAGGAAATGGGGAAACCCAGCCACGCGTCCCATCTGAAGATTCTGTGTCCCCAGGCAAAACTTTTAGTGCATGCTCTTCAGATATCTCAATCTTGGTGCCAGAACACTTGACTTGTGACACACACACACAAAATGCCCATTGGTTTGGAAAGCGCACTGAAGAATTCATTCTCCCAGCTTGCAAATCATTTTTCAAATCTTTTCCTCCAACCCATGGGCAAAATAATTGGGTAGCTGACTGATTTTGAGAAAACAAATGACTGTTCCCTTAAGTGGAGACAGTAGCCCTCCTATAGGTAGTACAACCACAATTTGGATCAGAATTTCCATTGCTAAGCAAGGAGGCTGTTAAATGAACCACACCCAATTTTAATGACCCTTTTTGGTCCTGGTTGTTAAGTAAACCACTGGTTATTAAGTGGATCTTGTGGTTGTTGAGCAAATCCAGCTTCTCCCATGGACCCTTGCATGTCAGAAGCCAGCTGAGAAGGTCGCAAATGGTGATCAGGTGACCCTGGGATGCTGCAACGATCGTAAATAAATGCCAGTTGACAGGCATCTGAATTTTGATTAGGTCTACCACAACTCGGCATGGTCAACTCGTGGGAGAACTCACCATGGGACAAGAATTACTGTCAACTGTCCAGTTGGCGAATCCAGAAAAAAGAAACTTCTGGGACATTATTTTACCAAGAGTATAAACTTTACTGAATAAATTCACATTGGCACAGAAGAAGCAAAGCCAGCTCTGGGCTTCCTGCACAAAAGCAAGCATAGTTCATTTCCCCTTTCCCCGCTGGCCATCCAAAGTCCATTACGACCACCAATTACTTCTGTTATTTTGTTTTAAAAACCAGCCAGCCATGCTGTGGCATCTGCTCGGGATGTCCTGGGCGGCGGGGGGGGGGGGGGAGGGTTACGTCTCACGGGAATCAACACTGCTTGGAAGCTATTCCCCCCAGCCTTGCATTCCTATCCAAACACCCCCCCCTCTTCTTTGTCAAGCTGCGAGCAAAGTGGAATATAGGTGAAGGTTTGAGTCAGTCTTGAAAATTACACCAGGGGTGTCAAAACGCAAGGCCCAGGAGCCGAGGCTGGATCCAGCTCATGGGGTGGTTAGATCTGGCCCATGGGGCCAAGGCCACATGCGGTCCTCCCAGGCTCCGTTTTCACTGGCAGAGGCACCGTGAGCCGGTCCTTCGCTGTTTCCAGGATCCCAAGCTCTGTTTTTGCTGGCAGAGAGTTGCAGGAGGCTGTCGCAGCCAAAAATGGAGCTCGGGAGCCTGTTTTCACTGGCAGCGCTCGGGCCTTCACAGGCGCCCCCGACATAAGTGACGTTGAGCTGGCCCCTCCCCTCCCCCACCCACCCCCTGAGGTAAAACACAACGCTGATGGCCTTCAATAAAATCGAGTTTGACAGTCCTAAATTACACTAATATCAAAGAAATAGTGGAATAGAATCATTAAAGATAGATGCAAAAGGAGGAACAGAATGGAATGTGAATGACAAAAGTTAAAATATTTTTCAAATTATTTTAAATAATTGAATTTTTGAATTGTCCTTCGGTGAGTTGGCCATGGTGAATCGACCCTGGCAAGTTGGCTGCAGCAAGTTGTCCCATTCCGCTCTGCAGATGCCCTTAGAAAATGAGTTTGGGCCATTATGGCCTGGAATGATGCAAGTTTTCAAGAACACCAGATAAGAAAAAAAATAACTAAGGAGGCAGTCCCTGAAGCTGCCTGCTTCCTTGGAGATGTTGGTGACCAACTACAGTTAAGTATGAATCACTTGCCAAGCACACAAGGCTCCCAGCCCTCAAATTAATCTAAAGATGAGAATATGCTGGATTTCTTCAGAGATTGTCTGAAACATCTATGCTTCCACTCCCTGATTGCTAGGCTCAAATATGTCTGTCCCAGGTGGCACAAAAGGAGCTTTGCCATTCATTTTTCAGCAGTGCTGGCAATCCAGTGAGTCAGTCTGATCCAGCCACCAGCCCTGTGATCAGGAATCCATGGGAAAGGGCGGGTGGTGGGGTGTTTAACAAAGTCAAGATGGCAGCCTTGGTCATGGGATCAAAGATCCACTCAGTCGTTTTGACTTTTTGAACCCTCCTGTATGCTCCTGACTATAAATATAGAACTCTAAAAAATAAATAGCAGATTATTCATTTATTTACAACTATTAGAATGTTGTAAACACTTCAATTAAGTGTTTACAAAATGCATGTTATTGTCTTGACGGTCAGATTAAACACATTGTTTTCAGCTGTCATACTTGCCAACAGCATTTTTGCACACGTAAGTCTTGGCGAGTGAACTAACCCATCTACAACTGTAATTGTTAACAATGGCTCAGTGCCAATGAGACGGATGGTGGTTCCTGTGTCCTGGGTTCAGGGACAGAGATTGGAGATGAACTGTAATGAATGCTGGAACAGCAGACTGCAAACACTATTGGTAAGACGGTGCATAGCAATACATCTGTGGACTCTTCACCAATGAACATGCAGAATAACTTGAAGCTGGGGAATGCAAATTAATGTGGCAGAACGTCCTGCAATCAAGCCCATGTACATAAGCTAAAACAGATGAAGAACACTTACAGGATTTGGGTATGTCTAGTGAAAAGAAAGACTAGGTGACATGAAAGCAGTGTTCCAATATTTGAGAAGTTGTCAGAGTAAAGGGAGGTCAACCTACTGTCCAAAGCACCTGAAGGACAAGAAGCAATGGATGGAAACTAATCAAGAAGAGAACCAACCTAGAACTAAGGAGAAATTTCCTGACAGTGAAAACAATTAACCAGTGGAATGACTTGCCACCAGAAATTGTGTGTGCTCCATCACTGTGCAGCTTTTAAGAAGAGACTAGACAGCCACTTGTCTGGAATGGTAGGGTCTCCTGCTCAAGCAGGGGTTTAGACTAGAAGACCTCCAAGGTCCCCTCCAATTCTGTTATTCTGTTAAGGGGAGAAACTTTGCCAGAAGTGCCAGAAGGGCCTGGTGGCTCAGCAGACTAAAAGCATTGTGATTAACACCAGCTGTCTGCAATTACTGTAAGTTCGAATCTCACC